AAACAAGATGATTGACAAAATCTTTTAGATTGTAAACTTTGTGTTACCATGTTCCATCTTATTCTTGCTCAAACTTTTCTTGTTCTGCTATGAAAATGAATTTTCAGTGTCAACATACATGGTAGTCTCTTTTTTTTTGGGGGGGGATATTATGCATAATAGCCTCTCATTTTAGTCATCATTTTAATTTTTCAGAATCCCAGTAAAGTCATTGCTGAGTGTGTCCCCAACATCCCTCACTATGGTTGTGGAGCAAAAATAAAGAGAACATCATCCAACCAACATAATTTTCCCGGGCCATCTTGGGTCTATGGTGGACAAAAGAATGGTGTACAAGAAGCACACACATCATCAGACTCTCTTCCAGTTGATTCATCATCAATTTTAAAGTTTTGTGAAAAGGAGAAATGCCCTGGCAGTAGAAAGGATGCAAAAGAAACTCAAACTGGAGTTGATATACACACAATGCAATCCATATTTTTGGGCTCTGATCGTAGGTACAACAGATATTGGCTCTTCTTGGGCCCTTGTAATGCGTATGACCCTGGCCATAGGAGGATTTATTATGAATCTTCTGAAGATGGTCATTGGGAAGTTATTGACACCGAAGAGGTAACTCTCAGCTTTTTTCATAATGCATGGCCTTTCTTAATTTGTATTAGTGTTGGATAATATTTGCCTTCGCATCATTATATGAAGATTTTACTTCTCTTCTAAAAGGATATTCTTAAGCTGAAATTTGGATTTCTTGCCATGTCTTATATGATAAAGTGATTGTTTTGTGTTGCTGACTTTTAATTGTTATTATTTGTTGGTCCCTTAATCCTGGTACAGGCATTGCGTGCCCTGTTGGGAGTTTTGGATGACAGGGGTAAACGTGAAGCTCTTCTTATTGAATCCTTAGAGAAGCGGGAAGCTTCCCTCTGTCAAGAAATGTCAACTAGACATTTATATGATGCAGGGGTCAGGCGCATGCCATCTGAATCACCTGAGCTGGATTTAGTCAGAGAAGACAGTTCTTCTCCTGTTTCTGACGTTGACAACAACCTAAGCTTGACAATAGCCATGAATGAATCTTTGACCCCATTTGGTGCTATAGTTCTTGAAGCTGGAAAGAAGGGAGAAGAACAAAACCGAAAGTGGAGACGTCTTCAAGAATTTGATATGTGGATATGGAAATGTTTTTACTTGAATCTTAATGCTGTAAAATACAGCAAACGTTCTTATTTTGATTCGCTTAACAGATGTGAGAGTTGTCATGATTTGTACTGGAGAGATGAGAAGCACTGTAAGATCTGCCATACCACATTTGAGCTTGATTTTGATCTAGAAGAAAGGTATGCCATTCATGTGGCTACGTGCAGAGAGAAAGGAGACAATAATATGTTTCCGAAGTTCAAAGTCTTATCATCACAGTTGCAATCACTGAAAGCTGCAGTCCATGCAATTGAGGTTCGCTATCATTTCCTCATTGGTTTTTGATTTGCTACCTGGCTTTTTCTGCATAAAACTAGTATATTACATTTTCATACGAATATAGCACATAGGGACATGCCTAGATTTAATACTGCCCTACTAGATATCGTGGCATGCATATGCATGTCATTTTGCTTTTATCATCTTTTCTTTTCCCTGTGTGTTGTCAAGGTGCACACCTAGGCACTAAGGTGTAGAGCAAATCAACTGAACATCTCGCACCCCTCAGCTGAGGACCCATTGGTCAGGCACACATGTTTTGTGCCTAGGTGTGCCTTTATTTAAGGTGAAAGGCACATAAAACAAATACCTAATTCTCTCTTTGGTTTCTTTAGTTTCTTTTATTAGTAGTCTTTTAAATAGTCAAAAATGGACAATACCAACTCTCTTTACAAGAATGAAAATAGGTCATATAGTCCATGCGTAACTTTTTGTTAAAGATTGAAGTGAAGGAAAGAGGGTAGTATATGACAATGACTTATTGTGAATTATTTTGATACTTGATCATTGGAACACATTAAGCTGTTGAATGGAGCAAATTTGTTAATGTTTGTTAACAAATTAATGTTTAAGTGTATTAGATATAATGAGCAGAAATTTCTTTGGTCTCTGTGTATGATACTATGTGTCTAAAATTTCCACCCTAGTCCTTACTGAACTTGGGCAAGTGCTTCTTTCATGTATTCTGCCTCCAGCAATACAAGGTCTAGCTCCTAAAATGGGTCTTGGACCTCTGACTACACTGATTATTAATAACTCTTTCATAAAATTATATTTAAATATATTTTATTTGTCATGATTTAATATAATATAATTAGTTTTAACGTCAACAATGAAATTTGCATAGAAAGCTTATGACTACACTTTGTCTATTACATCGTACTTCAAGAGAAATGTCTGGCTTTATGATAAGTCGTTATATTTTTCTCTTTCTATAGCAACATCATGTGAAGCTTCAGTATGCGTATAAGTCATCGATATAGTAAATAGTTCAGAAGGAACAAACTTTTATCAATTATTTTATTTAATCATTGTGTCAATTTCTTTGCATACTCTTTTTGCAGTCAGTTATGCCTGAAGGTGCTTTAGTAGGTGCTTGGACAAAGTCTGCTCACAGGTTGTGGGTCAAACGGCTACGACGGACCTCATCGTTGTCTGAGCTTTTGCAGGTTTGGTGTTTTTTTTTTCAATGTAATTCCATGCTTAATAGTTCTTGAAATAATATGATAAATTATAATAATTATACCTGAGGCTAATTGTACATCATTTAATTTTGGGATTGCACATCTCAAATCATGTTTGCAGGTTGTTGTTGATTTTGTTGCTGCAATTAATGAGAATTGGTTGAATCAATGCAATACTGAACAAGGGGATTGTGCTGTTATTGAAGAAATCATAGCATTCTTTCCAACCATTCCCCAAACATCATCTGCAGTTGCACTCTGGTTGGTGAAGTTGGATGAGTTTATTGCTCCATATTTGAAGAAAGTTCATTCCGAAAAGGAACTGGAAAATGGGAACAGATGTTCAGGTATATTCCTTCTTTATCTACAAGTTGTCTTAACACGTGGTGTTCCAGACAATAAAGTTGAACATCTGTTTCTTTCTGTTTGCTATACAGATTTATTTTGGCTACCAGATATTACTTGATCTGGTTTTGGTTATGGTAAAGGATCATTGCTGGCAATTATGGCTCAGATTGTTTATTGTTGTCATGAAACTATTATGTTATGGATGAAGATTTATTTATGATGGGTAGAATCTGATCTTTATGCATTTTAATTTCTTGATGCTTTTGCCTTTTGCTTTTTGCTATTTGTCTTTGGTTTTCTATTCATTTTCTATTTTATGCTTTTTTCTTCCTATTCATGTTTTGAAAAAAAAAAAAAAAGGGTGCAAAGCTAAAGGTAAAAGGCTAAAACATCAATCAATGGAACTTAAATAAGCCGAAAATATTTTCTAATAGTTTAGGTTGTAGCTTTGGTGATGTTTTTAAAAGTTAACCTTCTGGGTTAGTTCTAGTTACTAGTTATCAGTTCTCCTGGAATTTCTTCCAGTAGGATATGACATTCCTGTTTTTTTGCTTTATCTTAACAGGAAACTGGTGCAAATTAAATTAGCATATTAAACCCATTTTGAATTTATTTTGCTTGATGATGTATTGAAAAAGACAAGAAATTTCGTAAGAATTGTCTGTTCTCAAATGTTATTTTGTAGTGAGTCTTTATTTGTGCCTTTCCCATTCTCATTCACAAGCAATGACAGCTACCATATGATTTTCAAATTATATCTAAAGAGAACTATTCACGACTGCATGGTTTGGAGTGGAATTGAGGCTGGTTAGTTAGGACTATGTTTCTAATTGTCTTATTTGCTCATCTTTTTGGCAATGTTTGGAGAGGCAACCAATGTGGATGATTAGGTAGATCCTATGTCATGTTAATTTCTGACCTAAACAACTTTCAAAAGTTGATTGTTATGGAAATTATTCATTGGAGTCGGGCTGATTTCAGAGAAATATATTTTAGATCACAAGAAAGGGATGTTGTTCACTCCCTGAGCTTTGCATCAATTTTTTAAGTGAGTGGAAAGAATGATTGTACTTTTCTGAAGTTATCCTCGGATATCCCAAGATACCATATGGAAATAGAAAAGAAACATGTTCATAAGGTGGTAATACAGAATTTTTGTGATTTCAATCGCTTGCACGTCTTATCATTTCAGATCCTTGTGCAGATTAGCATTTGTCTTACATTTCTGTGACTTGGATGATCTGATGCTTTAGATAAAGTAATCAATGTGGGCTTTTTATGATTCAGAGAGAAGAGCTCCGAAAGAATAAATCCAGCCTCTGTTTGGAGCTTCTACAGATGGAAAGCTCATTTGCTTCTATTCAAGACATTTGACTTTCGGGTGCTGTCTTCATTGTCATCCTAATGCCTAACACCAAATCACTCTTCCGGCTATGGCTTGTCATTTTGACTATTCAATATTCATCATTGGAGCATTTATTTTGATGCATTTGAAGTTTGATTTCGATGGATGAAGGCAGGAACATCGTATGAGATTGTACAGAGCAGAGTTTTGACTAAATATTCATTTTTGAATGTTATTGTACTCAGGGAATCTGAGCTGTTTAGACATTGTACAGAGCTAGATACATACATATGCAGGAAAATCAAGTTTTTGGTACAAAACTGTATACCGTCCTCCCCAGTCAGTTAAATGATTACTACCTATGTTCATTGTAGAAAAGGAATGTTGTAGCTCCTTGTCAAACAGTAATCTGATTTCATTGATGTACACAGCGAACTTGTCATTTTAATTTGGCAATGGCAGAATAAAATTTTACTGGCATATGCTGCAGTCTTCCTTCGCTAAGCATTATGCCTGCCTGTTTCACTTTACTATTATCTTGTAATCGTCAAACAATTTCTAATGGCTGAGCTTAGTACTAGTAGATCTATAATTTTAAGTTTTCATATTGATAATTAAATATCACTGCAGGCTGGCTAAGCCAAAAAGGATAAAAACGCAGAACCACAGACCATTTTTATAACATGATATTACCAACTTCCAAACCAGCTGTTTTGGGTAATAATAGAGGTGTACTTAAGAACAACATCACACAAGGGGGATGCTTCCCTGTGTAGGAACTCCATAGGCGCTATGAGTATGAATCAACACTGAACCCATCTAATGAAGCTGTGACTCCCTAAATCATTAACCAAGTGAGGTCCCTCCTTTATGTTTCAAGACATTAACATCCACGGTATCAAGATGAATGTTTAAGAACCTTCACGGTCTCACAAACAGCTGAAAAGTCCAGATCTCCCAACCCCATGCTTCTCGCCTTCTTGAAAGCCTACGACCAAAAACGAATAACAAGTTTTAGGTCAATCATCTTAGAGCTTCCTACAATTAAGTGTCAAGAATTTGATATGTTATGCTAACTTGCATACAAAATTTGAAAGGTATCCATTAAATTGCATCTTGGTGATGACAAATCTTAGCCAAAAGTTACAAACATTTCCTAATTCACCAAACTAGTTTATTTCTAAGTTAGTGATTGCCTCCAGCACTTATGTGCCTCTATAGATGCTTGGGTGTTTTTTTTTTTTTATTGAGAGTGCAGTGGCATCTTTGTTCATATAGGGATCCAACAAAACCTAGTGAACCACTTTGGCTGAAATGGAGGATTCCAAGTTCCAAAAGGTATGGTTCATATACTTAAGTTTCCTTCTCCAGTACCTTTATATCACTCTTTATGTATCAGGAAATTTTAGCTTACGAAGGATATCAAATTCTTTGTCTTAGCACCTAAACTATGCATAAACATCAGATAACAACTCCCAACATATGGAGAAGGGCAAGCAGATTGAAAGAAAAGCACAACCTCATTGGCTGCGGCTGCGACTGGCATTGATACTGCATTTTCATCCCCTAGGGCAAGAGCCAACCTCATATCTTTCTGCTGATGTTTCAAAGGAAATGCAGGGGAATAATTGTCCTGAAGCATTGCCGGTCCCTTTCCTCTGAACATTGGATTAGCAATTCCACCCAAGTCCTGCCAGAAAGTAGCACACTCACTGTAAGTTTCTGTCTCTCCACAACTTGACAGAATATTCAGTGGCTGCAAACTTACCAGTACATCAAGAAGGCTACGTGGATTCAGTCCACTTCTCTCAGCCAGTACAAGTCCCTCCGAAAATGCATTCATCATACTGCAGAAGACAGAGAACCGAGATAAACGTCCTGATGGATTTGTCAACTCATAAGAAGAAGCATTTTAATTTATTTATGGCATAGTAGTATTCTAAAATAAAAAACTCTTTTCGAAGCTGAAGTAGCCCCAGTTAGTGGAGACAAAAAATTGGAACAGAATATGAAAGCTTTAACCTAGCTCTGACATATCAAAGTTAGGAGCCAATATTGCCCCATTTGTGTTACTAAAGAATTTAGTGACATAAGTTGTATATTTCTAATAGTAAAAGTTTTCACCAAAACCTTAGGTATATCAACCATGCAAAAAGATCAACCCAACTTATTCATAGACCAAAGAGCCATATTGATTTCTTTTATTTTAAGCTTGCAAATTTTTCCTAGGACTTTCACTACTAAAATAATATTTGCTTATTGCCAAAATAAAAATATAACAATGATTATAATATATTAGCTCAATTTCAGTGGGTTTTGTTTATTTTTCATTTTTGGGTTCAGAAAATGAATGAAAGAAAGAGCAATCATTACCTGCCCATTATCATGTTAACAACAAGTTTCATTTTTGCTCCATTTCCAACTTGTCCCAAGAAGAAAGACTTCTTTCCCAAGACATCGAAAGCTGGAATTGCTTCCTCATACAATGCCTAAATTTACAAACAGTGACGGGCTGCAGTTAACACCAAAGTGAAGATAAATTTGCAGGCTACAGATATATTAGCAGTAATGATCAAGAAAAAGACAAATGGATTCCATTGTCTTCCATTCTGTTATTTTCTTTAACTTTTTCACCATGGAAGTGAAAGGCCAGTTAATAGTTGATCATTTAAAATGCCACTTGATAGAAGCTCCCACGGGATGTCTTAAAGGAAAAGGTTAAATTTTATCACAATATGAAATTAATGTATATAACACATTTTATTTTCACACTCCTTTATCTCAATCCCACATCTCTCTCATCCACTTTCAATCACAAAATTTCAATGGGAGTTTGTTTCCAGAAAATGAAGTCCACTGATCGTTTGATTTTAAAACATGGAATGAGATGGCAAAATGTGAAAAAGAAAGTGTATGTAACATTATCCTTAAGGAATGGCCCTAGATCAAGTCGCATGTAGAACGATATTTGTAAATGAAACCTCCATTGGCAGAGATGTAAGGTTTCTTGAATTTATTAAATGTAAAACTCATCAATTGATACTGTATTCTGTTTTCTTTTCATTAAAAATGCCCAAACTGCGTAGTCTGAACTTCTGGAAGGTTCACTCAATCAATAGAAAATGATAATAATCAACCGAAAAAGGTCGTTTTACTTCATTCCCTGACTGTCACAATGTTTTAAAACATAATGTGCAATTAGTCCTATATAGCAGAGCAGTCAAAATCAGCAACAAAACATTTATTCCATTATTTCCTAGTTTGCATTACTATAATTCTAAGAAAAACCAGCACATCCATGTAGTTGCAATACGTAGCACATCTAATTTGTTTTAGTTGGCCTTGCCATATTTCTACTATCTTGAAATGCATTTCTATCAAAATAGAGGACGTATGAACAAAGGTGCACCATTCATTAACACGAACAAGTACTACAAATCCAGTAAATCTATCCACCAATTTACCTTCTCCCCAGCAGCGAGAATCACTAGTTGACCAGTTTCTGCGGGCTGCCTGCTACCTGAAACAGGGGCCTCAAGGAAGTGACCACCCTTTGATGTAATTGCCTGTAGATATCCAATGTAAGTAAGAAATGCATAAATTCATTCATTGATAGGTAAATAACTAAATAACAGAATATCATAGAGTATATCAAATTTATGTTGTTAGAATCTTCTTGCAAAAGATCTTCAACATCATCTTCCAAAAAGTATCCTTGGTCTTTATCAGAGTACAAAAGAGAAGCATAACATTGACACCATTTCAACAATCAACAATACCTTTGCATGTGTCATTTAACGAAATAATTTTCTTTTTATTTTAGAATAAATACAGTTTAAACTTACACCTCAGAGAATAAGTAATACTCAAAAGACTTTTAAAAATTTCTTAACCCACTATCTAACTTTGAGATGAAAAACAAATTATTTTCTGCTTAATCAAAAAAATCTCCTGACTCTCTCAACAATATGATAAAAATTGCTATATGACATTCCCATACTCATAAAAGACATGCCATTATTTGCCCGTTATCTTGAGGTTCCACAAATTATCACATCTCAACAGAAGACCCTCTCACTTTCTAAGTTTCAAACATAAAGAAGCACCTTCAATCAAGCACAAAAGATTATCAGCTAACCTCATTGATTTTGCAAGAAGTCTCGGGATCAACAGTTGACATGTCAATGTAACCTTTACTGTTGCAAATTTGCTCGAGCACACCATCTTTGTCGAAAACAACCTAGGCAATCACCAAATACATTTTTTGTGGTAATGACTTATTATTGAGGATGGCAGGGGCTTAAAATGTATGAATACCAAAATTAGTAATTACCGAAAGAGCTGCAGCGGGATCAGACAACATGGCAATGGTGATCTTGCACTTCTTAACGACTTCTGCAGGGGTTTCTCCAACTGAGGCACCATGAGCCACCAGTTCATTACACTGCAATTACAAAAAAAATTTCCATGCCACAATTTCTTGTAGTAAAATTCAGTCTGGTATCAAGCTACAAAGAATCCATATTTCACATACAACAACGGACTGAACTGAGCCGTATTATTATTTTTTCACCAAAAAGGTAAAGCCTTTTCTCTTGACAGTCACAAGAAAATGAACACAATCAAATTTATCCATCATTTAAGTCGGAAATTTTGATTTCTTTTAATCAAATTCAATCAATCTCCTGTTTTCTTTATTTAGTTTCCCACCCTTCCTTTAAGAGGAAAAAATCATAAAAAAAATTATAATTTCAATACATAAAACTATAAACAAACACCAACCCACCAGTCAGATCTTAAGATGAACGCTATCTGCAACTGATGATAAAAATATTTCAAAGAAAAGTAAACACCAGGAAAAAAAAAAAAGGAAACTTTTTTGGCAAAGGGTAATGAAAAGCAATGAATGGCACCTTAGACAGAGTTCTGTTCCAAACAGTGACTTTGAATCCACGCTTCAGCAAATTCATTGACATGGCTTTCCCCATTATTCCCAGTCCCAAAAACCCAACCTCCATTTTCTTCTTCTTCTTCTTCTTTGTTTACTCTCTCTTTCACTTTGGAACTTTTCTTTGTTACTAGTTCATGCAGTATTCCTTACCAGACTCCACCTGTATGTACACACGGAAAAACAAAACAAAAGCATGGAGTTTTTTTTAACGTTAATGTTGATAAAAATATGATAAAAATCACTCTCACCAATGTCACCTTACTAATATGAAATTTAATTAATATTAAAAGTACAAAATTTTTGGTACTGTTCAAAGTTAAATATTTCATTTTTGGTAGTAAGTATTAGAATTGTGATTAATTGTGATTATCTAGTTTGTCGTTAATGGATGGACGGATGCGTTCCACGTAAGCCTCCGACGGCAGGGGTGATCGTGCTCCGCTATTCTCGGAATCCTCGGAGAACATGTTACTCTGTGGTCTACATTCGAGGTAACCTGAGTCGGAAACCAATCATCTTTGAACACGTTATAAAGGTTGAGGGGAGCCAATGGTAAAGCTGTAAAACTGTACTGGCCAAAGTGTTTATAAAAGCAAAATTACAGCGGACAGATGCATTGAGACACGGCCCAAATGAAGCCCCAGATTACCACTGGACTTGACCCTTGGTTAGGGATGATTGTGTTACTTTACTTGCCCACCCGCGGATTCGAATTTCAAACTGTCGTACCCAGCAGGGCCAGCAGCCGGGCTTACTTCCACAAAACTAACACAACCCAACAACAAACTAATCCCAATCGCTTCTCTCGTTCACCAATGAAGAACAAAGCAAACAACAACAAAAAGAGACACGAGTTGAATCAGTTGATCAAAGAAGAACAAGAACATGTCATGGGAGACATCGAAGATTTGTTCAGCGAAGAGGACACCAATAGGATAAGGTCGTCATTGTTGGAGTGGTACGACAAGAACCAAAGAGACCTCCCTTGGAGAAGAAGAACAAACAAAATCAGGAAATGGCAAAAATGTTAAAAAGAAGAAGAAGAAGAAGAAAAGAGGGCATACGGGGTATGGGTTTCAGAGGTGATGCTGCAACAAACAAGGGTTCAGACTGTTATTGACTACTACAACCGTTGGATGCAAAAATGGCCCACTCTTCAACACCTCGCTCAGGCTTCTCTTGAGGTCTGCATTGCTTTGAATTCATTTCATTTTATTATGTAGTATTTATTACTATTAACTAGCATTGTTTGTTTGTTTATTTTACGGTAATTGGGTTTTAAATGGAAGTTTTTTCTTTTGTTTTCCTTGTTTTTTGCAGGAGGTGAATGAGATGTGGGCAGGGTTGGGATATTACAGAAGGGCACGTTTCCTTTTGGAGGTTAGCTCTACTTACATTTTGTGTTTTGCTCCGATTGTCTTTTCTTTCTTCTAATAATATGTTAAAAGAGACAGTGTGACCAATTATTTAAAAAGCTTAAGCTGACAGTAAAGATTCGAACTTTTATACTACTACTTTTTAACTTCTAAGGTAATTTTATATGCAAAAATTCTTTATTGTTTGGGGGTGTTATTAACCTCTAGTTATTGTATTCTCACACAATGTACAGTCTTCCGATGTTAAAAAAAAAAGGAGTACTATCAGAGTTGTTTGAAGCTCCCATAGAAATTTGAATCATAGTTAGAGATGGTGCAGAGGAATCAAGTCTTCATGCTGTCATGAAATCTTAAAACTAATTGTTCATTGTGGCGGTGATTATGATTTCCAATTTTCTACTTTATGTATGGCTCTGTCCAGGATGATTGTAGCAGTGCATATGATTTCAATTTGAGGATCATTCTGGCCAAATTGTTTGTTGATGCACAAAACCCCCTTTGCAGTCATGCAACTTCTCACTGCTTCCCATGTTCACCATCCAGTCTATCCTGTATCACTTCTTTTCTTTTCTTTTGGTCATACCATGGAGTTTATTTGCTAACTTATCAGATTTGGTAAAGACTGTAAACGAAATATTACCATCTGTTGCCTTGTAAAGAACATAACTTCTTTAAAGGAAAAACTAGAAAAGTTATTGCTTAGATATAATTTTCCTATCTTTATTGAAGCATGACCTAATTTTTTGTCCTTCCTTCTCTTGCTTTTAGGGAGCTAAGATGATTGTTGCTAGGGGAAGTGAGTTTCCAAATACAGTTTCCACCTTGAGGAAGGTTCCCGGAATAGGAGATTATACAGCAGGAGCAATTGCTTCTATAGCATTCAAAGAGGTAATCTGGTTCTGAGTTTTTTTTTTTTTTTTCAAATGAGACACGGGGAATCTAGAGCATTGCTTCTATAGCTTCTATATTTGGTTTTTCAGGTAGTGCCTGTGGTTGACGGAAATGTGGTAAGGGTGCTTGCTAGACTAAAGGCTATTTCTGCCAATCCCAAAGACAAAACTACCATCAAGAACTTCTGGTAAGCTTTATTAGTATCTCCAACATCTCTTGTTTCAATTCCTATGCAAATTATTTCTAGTTTGGAATAGGAATACTGGTGGTGAAATGACTGTAATGATCATTACTGCTGCTGCTGTTACTATTTATTGCATTTAAAAGTTTCTTTGGAACAGGAAACTAGCAGCTCAACTTGTAGATCCTTCTCGACCTGGGGATTTTAACCAATCTCTCATGGAGCTAGGTGCAACCTTATGCACTCCATTGAACCCAAGCTGCTCTTCATGTCCCATATCAAGCCAATGCCGTGCATTATATAATTCCAAAAATGATGAGTCAGTTGTGGTGACAGATTATCCTACAAAGGTAGTAAAGGCGAAACAAAGACATGATTTTTCTACTGTTTGTGTTGTAGAGATATCTGGAAGCCAAGGTACATTGCACCAAAGACAATCTGACAGCAGATTCCTTCTCGTAAAGAGACCAGATGAGGGTTTACTTGCTGGTCTTTGGGAGTTCCCTTGTGTTACATTGGATGAAGAAGCTGACCTAGCCATGAGGAGGAAACTAATTGATCAATTACTGAACAAGTCATTTAAACTTAACCCCCCAAAAACTTGTAGCGTAATTTCTAGGGAACTTGTTGGGGAATTTGTCCATGTTTTCAGTCACATTCGCCGTAAGATTTACGTGGAGTTGCTGGTGTTACATCTTAAAGGTTTGAGGCTCTCTCTCTCAAACATACAACACATCTCATGTAAATATATATTTGGATACGACAATTATTTTTTCTTTTTATGATTGTTAATTGTGACTATCCTTTCTTTTAATCTGCCTGCATGTAGGTGGGATGCATGACTTGTACAAAGAGAAGGACAGCGAAACCATTGATTGGAAACTTTTGGACAGCGATGCTGTTTCTAGAATGGGATTGACATCGGCAGTACGGAAGGTATTATAGTGATGAACGGATTCATGGCTGATTTTAAGCAGCTTCTAAATTTTGACATTTCTGTAATTGCTCTTTGGTTTCTAGCAAACAAAATTTTTTCTTCAGAGCATTTTCATAATTATATTTTCCTGTACGATGGAAAGCTTAAAGGCTTTCTGCTTTTCTGTCCCTGTGAATATATTCATCTGGAATGGTTTCCATTTTGTTGTCATTAATGTGATTCAATGCCCATTATTGTCTTCTCAATGCAGGTATACTCTATGGTTCAAAATTTTAAACAGAATGGATTATCCAACTGTTCAATCCCATCAAGAAAAAGACTGAAGTGTTCATGAATTAAGTGGTGCAGCAGTCTGACAATTCATTGATTCAGCAAGAAAAATTCTGGAGATTGCAGGTTGTGCTCTCTGTTGACAACTTAGTTAATCAGTTGTACAACATGCATGTTATCAGCAACTGCCGATGTCTTCATGATAGGTTTGTTCTGCATTTGATTCTTCCAAAAATGCTACTGTGTGGCGTATCTTTTCTTTTCGTTTTTTCTCTAATAAATGGTTCAATTTTGTGTTCAACTCAGATGTGTCAGCCATCAAGTGTACATTCAAGACGTGGGGATGCCTCCAGATTTTACCTAAGAGAAGGAAATTATTAACAACATTTAGTTGTCATGAAAAAAGTCCTTTCTGTGTTTGCTATACTTCGTGTTGGGTTAGCTGAATGCTTAGTTTGCAATATCAAAGCACATTTGTTTTATTCGGAAGCTTTTATTCTAGTGGTTTTGGCCAAATCTTGTGCGATTTGTTTGCAGGAAGGGATGCAAGAGCTTTTCGGCCCCGCCCGGTATTCTCAAGTTTTTGAAAATGAAAACAGAATTCTATAAGGTGCCTCAAATATGAGGGCTGCTTATATTTTCTGGATTTCAGTCAGCTGCTGCCATGCAGATGGCAACCAGAAAAAGGAGAGGTGAAGAGGATACCAGTGTAGAAGTTGGATATACATGCTTTCAGAAACAAACAAAAACGATTTTGCTCCTATTTTCATTTTGGGTTTGGACTGTGGTTGGACCACCAATTTGCTCCTATTTTTTATTTTCCCTTTATCACAATATGAAAATAAAAATTTATTTTGCAGACGGAAAAATAAACTTTTAAGAAACCAGTGGCATATATTCTCCTAAGCTTCTTGTGGATCAGAAAACTCTCTTCTATTCAATTCTCTTCTTCTATTGTACGACTGCCTCTGCCCCTGCCCCTGCCCCTGCCCCTGCCCCTTCCTCCATAAAAGGAAAAGTTTAAAGATATTCATCGAAGGGCAAAAATACCAAAAAGAAATGTTTGATGACTGAACAACAAGTAGCAAAAGAATAAAATTGAAGTAGCTAGAGATTCATCCAGTTCCAGTAGTATCGAAATGGCTACACTGGGAGGAAGAGCAATAGGGTTCTCAAGCTTTCCATCGTCTTCTTCATATCTCCGTGGGAATTCCAGAGCCACCTCCTCTTCATTCTCCTGCACTCTATCAATGGTAACTTTATTAGTACATGCTACAATTTTGTATGATTTAATTTAAGCAACTGTCTGAGCTAGTCGGAACGCCGCCCTATCCTCTTCATTTACCTCTGTTCAAATAGACGAGGCGGCAGTTCTGCACTGAGAGCAAGGGAAATTCTAATCTGAATCTTAGGTAGAATTACTTTTTGCTGTCAAAGTGTAACTGTTCTAAAACATAAAAGTTCACTTCACAGTTGAAAACACTGAGGAGGTCTGCCAAGTTTTTCTTGGCCTGAACGGTCATGAGATAACCTCATTACTACTAATAGATGCTGAATCCTTGGTCTCAACCCTTGCAGCAAATGGTCAGTAAATCAATGATTTCGCGTAAATGTGTCGCCTGTTCTGCTGTGCAGGAATCGTCTAGTCCTACTGGTAGGTTTTTCCATTTGGGTGTGGTATGTTAAAGTCCTTGTTTCTAGAAGCAAAGCTCATCTTCTGAATTCTGGGTTGCTTAGAAAGATGTTTCTTTTGCTATTAGCCACAGCTGAAACAAAGGCAACCACTCCTGCTGAAGCAAAACCATCACCCACTTCTGAAACAAAGGCCGCAGTTGCTGGTGGGAAGGAGGAAGTGAAGGCCGCCCCGAAAGCAGCTCCAGCAAGGCCCAAACCTGCAGCAAAGGCTCCTGCCAAACTACTGCCAGAGTTGATGGCTGAGGATGTTATCCCTTCATTGAAAACAACACTTGAAGCTCAAGTTGATCTATCTGAAATTGAGCTTTCTTTCCAAGACAACAAGGTTTCTGCTCTATTTTCTCACTGATCAATTTTCCCAAAAATGGCATTTGAATTTGAGCTTGCTAATGGTTTTGTGAATCTGCCCGTTCCAACTTAACAGTTGGAAGGTTCATTCCTGAAGAAGGGCTGTCCCTACTCATTCTGGGCCTTCTTCCCTGATGGAGTCCTCACAGGTATTATAACTTCAGAAATTCCAAACAATTATCAGGTCCCTTGCCCATAAATGATGGACATACTTCTCCGTTTGCACAGGTCCAAAAGGGTTTTCATTGACTTCATATGGCTCGGTAGCAAGCACTGTCGAGCCCTTCCTCATTGATGAGAAGAAAATCACAGCAAAGCATGTAGTGTTCTGGGTTGAAAAGCGTTTGGCAGCCCAAGGAATTATTCCTGTCTGGAAAGAATGAGTTGGCAGCATAAAACCATGCCATGTAATTATTCATGTCAGAAACTAATGCTAACTATAAAATTTTCCAATTCATTTTAAACAAAAGATATTACCAAATGTATCATTTTTGTTCTACAATTAAAATACAGGATATGTTAACCGAAGGGAACGTTTGACAAATTACAACGCCCATCAGCTTGTCCAACCTCAAGACCTGGAGTTAAAGAGGGGTAAGAATAGCACTGCAGCTTTAATTTCTGGTTAAACAACAGGACTGTGGTTCATAGTAATGCTCATTCCCCCATAAAACACAGATACGGATCCTCAGTTTTATTAGTCCACCTTTACTAAGAGAGATTTGCATCCACCAAAAACCGTGCAAGTCCAATCAAGGATAAGCCGGCAACACTCTCCCCCTTCCCTTCTTTCTAAAAAAGGAAAAGAAAAGAGATCAAAGAAGTCCCTCTAAGGTTCCAAAGTAAAAACTATAGAACATTGTATAGCTAACAGAGCTCACAAGGTTTTCATCTAAATTACACATCCAAGGACCAGGCCATACGCGAATGCCTGGACCATGCTTTACAGTAAATGACATAATGGCCCAAACAAGTAGCATTTTTTGAGTAATTAATGAACACATACAACAGGTACTTCAAGCACAAAGCTCATAAAAACAGTACTTCATAAGTCCATATCAACCAATGTGTGCTCTTTGTCAGTCGCTAGTTGTCAGAATTGGCATTAGCATTGCGAATTGCACGACGAAGTTCTCCCAAGAAATCCATCTGTGAGCCAGGTGAAGGTCCGATACTGTTTGTTGAAGACATCATCTAAGGAAAATCAAGCCAAATGCATAAGAGAAACAGAGTCGTGATAAGAAGAGATGGGGAAGAGGGGAGGGATGGATACCTGATGTGGAAGTCTGAAATTCCTCCAGGCTGAATCACTACTTCCAGAGTACAGAACTGGTCTTTCTGAAACAAGGAAAACCACGGTAAATAACAATCTAGTCTGGTCTTTTAGCTCACAGGTAATGAATGCAGAAGAAAATATACACCAACACAAAAGGATGACAGTACAAATACCATAAACAACTCACAACAACCTCAGAACTGCTCACTACCATAAAATCTAAAAGAAATGAGCAACTTTTAGCTCATCGGTAACTTTATTTAATATCTTACTGGTAATATGCAGTTAAACAGAATGGTGGTGGAATTGTTTAAAGAAGATTCATAACCCATGCTCAGGACGAGGAACCTTTAAAGATATAACAGCAGAGTTCATAGAAAAATGATGATTTATCCATTAGGTAGCTCAATTCCCACTGTTTGTCCTAGAGCATGAATTAACTTGTAGCCCAAATTGATCCACCAAATATCTCACATTCATTGGACGTCTTCAATGATGATGTCAAAATGTTGGTCCATAACCTATTCATTCCCGCCT